TCTCCCTCGTCCGCCGTGCCCGGCCTGACCCGCGCCCATCACCACAGCAGCATCCGGTCCGGTCTCGGCCACCACCGACGATTCAGCTGGCGCCTGCTGCGGGCTGGTGGTGGCTGATGGCGGCTCGTGCGGCAGCTTCTGCTTCTGCTGTTCCTCCTCGGAGGGCTCCTTCTCGGTGTCGGCGTCCGACGTGTCGGCCACAACGCCGCCGCCCGACGCCTGCGGACCCGCCTCCGCCTCCGCCTCCGCCTCCCGCTTGCTCTCGCCCTTCGTGTTCTGCGTCGCCTTCTTCGTCTTCGCGGGCTTCTCCTCGTCGCTGCCGCCGTCCTTCTCCTTCTTGGGCGACGACGGCTTCGTGCCGCCCTCGCTCGTCGCCGTCGTCGCGGTGGCGGTGGTGGCCGCGCCTGGCGCCGTCGCGTCGCTCGGCTTGGGCGTCGTGGCTGTGGACGTGCCGAGCTTGCGCACGACGGTCGGCTTGACCGCCGGCTTGCCGCGTGTGGCGCCGCTGCCGGTCAGGGGCCTCGACCGCGTCGACGAGGCTGACGAGGGCGCGGCCTTGGTTCCGCGCCCAGCGGACGCTGACGTGGCAGTGGTCGGAGCGCGCACGGGCGAGGAGGGCGTCGACGTGGAGCCACCCGCGCCGCCCGCCACGGGGGTGTTGAGAAAGGCGAAGATCTCGTCGTCGCTCCTGGGCTTGGTGGCGGACCGCGACTGGGCCTGTATGCGCCCGCCAGCTGGTGGGGCGCCTGAGGTGCGGCCACCACCGCTGGCACCGTCGGCTGGGTTCCTCACTGCGCCGCCACTGGGCGAGGACCCATCGACGTCTGTCCCATCCTCTACAAATTTTGCCACCCAGGTTTATGAGAGAAGATGGTGGGATGAAGAAGAGGTGACACAAAACAGCCTCTCGCGCCTCGTTTCGAGTGGGTGAAGTGAGAGGGATGATGATATGGGGGTGAAAAATGGGAGAGATTAGTGAGGGCGAACCTTTATGGGCGAGTTTCTGGGCAGTCTGATCGACCTGCTCCAGAAGGCTTTCCAAGCCTTTGATGAAGTTCATCTTCCTCTTCGCGCCTGGCAAGACAGCCGATTTCGCTTTCGCACAGTTTACAATTTGATCAAACCACCAACGTGTTGGCTGGGTCACAAACTACCGGATTTTACCCGGATATCAGACGCACAAAGAAAAAATGAGAAATTCATTTTCTCGGCCACACGACTCGACCTGCATTCTTTTAATATCGAGCCACAAAGCAGGCAAGCACTGAAATGTAGGAATTTAAAAATTGTCATTACAAGCGAAAATTGGATATTCTGTTAATATGGCCTCCACCAATAGGCAGACCCAGAAGGATTGAAATTTCGATATCGCGAAATATTCGAAGATACAAAATGACGGTTCTGTCTGGTCGCGGTTTCCCTGCAGGGAGCTAGGGAAGCCGCGCTACCTCTCTTTTCTCTTTCACCCCAACGCGAACAGACCACCACCGCGAGCCCAGGCCTCCACCGGGCAGTTCTCTCGGCTCTCTCTCCCTTTGCTCGGAGCACTCTTGCACGAGTTCATCCAAGCTCTCTTGTTCTGCTTTTGTTTTGTTTTTGTTTCTTCTTATTTCTCTCTCCAAGTTAGTGACGGCGCTCCTCGAGCTTATAATTTAAAACTTTTTATTTAGTTTTTATTTACTTATTTTTATTTATTTATATTCATTCGCTCCCCGGCGACGGCGCACCCGAGTGAATGCTGCGGAAGCCGGCTGCTGGCTCTGCTGAAGATGGAGAGAAGTGGTTGGCCGATGTGAGCGTATGTATCGGCGATGCCGGTCTCTCGGCAACCGACAAGCTCAACCTCAAGCGCATCGTCACCGCGTACGGCGGCACCGTCAGCTATCTAGTCCACCCCAAGGTGCCCCACTCTGCCGATATATATCTATTTTCTTTTTCTTCTCCGGTCAACTACGTGCAGCAAGGCTCAGGTGGAGCTGCAGAAGAAATACAGCCTCTTCCCTATCCATTTGGTTTTATTTTTATACCTATTCTTTCATTTATTTTGAATTTTTTGTATTGTATTGCGGTATTATTATTTTCAAAGTATTTATTAATATATATTTGTTTTTCTTTTTAAAAAATGTGCAGACTACGCACCTGGTGACGGGCGAGGAAGAGGTGCGGGTCTGTTCGCAGAAGGTGCGCACGGCCGACCGCTACGGCGTGCGACTGATCACGCCCGCCTGGCTCCTCGACTCAGCCGCCGCCGGCCGCCGCCAGGACGAGGCGCCCTTCCTCCTCTCCTCCGCCGCCGCCGCCGTCGGCGAGCAGCAGAAGAACGAAAACGACCGCAACGACAACGCCACCGTCAACATCACCTCCACCACTTCCACTTCCACCGACAACACCACGTCCGCGACCGATGGCGACGCGGCGACTTCGTCGTCGTCGCTGTCGTGGTCGTTCAGCTCCATCGCCGCCGAGGCCTCGTCGTCCACCGGGACTCTGGGCTCGGCCTCGCTCGTCAACCGGCCGCGTGGCACCTGGCTCACGTCCGCCGCCACCGCCGCCACCTCGCTCCTCGACCACTTCACTCTCTTCTCCCTCGACTCTGAGGCCTCACCTTCGACAGCTTCGTCTTCGTTGTCTTCGTCTTTGTCATCTTCATCGACGTCGACGGCCGACGAGGCGTCGCTCGCGCCCGCCGCCGCCACAGCCGATGATGACGTCAGCTCTGCTAACGCTGAGCAGGGCGACGCCGAGTCGGCAAAAAAGGAGGGCTGGGCGCTGAAGCTGGAGGAGAGGCAGAAGCAGCTGAGGGAGGTGTCGGACCAGCTACGGGCGGCGAAGCGCGAGTACGACCGGGAGCAGAACCGGTCGATCCGGCGCCATAAGACCGAGGCCGACCGCGAGCTCGAGCAGAGCTTCAGCGCCGACGCCAAGGCCCGGAAGCGGGAGCGGCTCGAGGCGCTGCGCCACCAGCGCCTGGCCAAGCTGCGCGAGGGCTGGCTCGCCGAGCTGGCCCGGCGCAAGAAGCGCGACGACGAGAAGGCCGAGGAGAAGCGCAAGCGGCGCGAGGCCTGGGAGGAGAAGCAGCGCGAGAAGGAGCGCCGCCGTCAGGACTACGAGCAGAAGAAGCGCGAGTGGGAGAGCAAGCAGGCCGAACGGTAGGCTTCTTCGTTCTTTGTTCTCGTCGCTCTTCGTTCTTTGCTGACGCGTTTTTTTATGATTTTTGTGACCACCAGAGCGCAGAAGCAGCGGGAGTGGGACGCCCAGATCTTGAGGTGGGAGGAGCAGAAGCGCTCCGAACTCTACAAGAAGTTCTTCGTGGGCAACCTCAAGTGGAAGGACATCACTCTCGAAGGTAACGCTCACACACGACATCATCATCATGATCTATTCACGTGTCAGACACCCACAACGCTGACACACGACACGACACGACACAACACGCAGACATGGGATCGGAAACGGCGGTGGAGTTCGCCCGTCAGAAGCGGTGGGACCGGCTGCGTGCGGTGTTGGCCTCATTCGGACCCATCACCCGCATCAAGGAGCACTGGGACCGCCACTTCGTGTTCGTGGTCTACGAGGAACGCGAACACGCCGAAAAGGCGATGGAGGTGCTGTCGTCGTGGGACGAGCGCGTCAAGATCGTCACCGCCATCCGAAAGCAGCTGCTCGACGAGGCCCAGCCCCTGGTCTACACGCCCACCCCCGATTTCTACCTGCGTTGGCCCACCAAGGAGCCTCACCCCGTACGCGCCACCCTCCTCCCCACCGCTTTCGCTCTTCGCTCCCTGGCTTTGTTCTTCGTTCTGTTTCTGATCGCTTTCTTGGCCTCGCCTCGATTAGGACCCGGAGGAGGAGAAGAAAAAGGCCGAAGCCGAGGCTGCGGCGAAGCTCAAGGAGGAGCAGCGCCTGCAGGCCGAAGCCCAGGAGATCGCCGACGGGTGGGAGAAGAAGAAGAAGCCCGCCAAGAAGTCCAAGAAGAAGAACGAACACGACGACGACGCCGAGAAGAAGGCCGACGACGCGAATGCCCCGCCGGACGTGCGTCCGCCGAAGCAGCAGCGCGGCCTCGACGGCAAGTCGAAGAAGAAGCGCGAGAAGCGCAAGTTGAAGGAGGCCGAGAAGCGCGAGCTGGAGAAGAAGAAGGGCAAGGGCAAGGGCAAGGGTCGAAGTCAGGACCGCCGCCCGCCCACGTCCGCTGACCGACCCGCTCGACCTCGCCCGTCCCCGGCCGACGCCGACGCCGCCGCCAAGCCCACTGGAGCCGCCGTCGCTGCGCCTTCGCGTGGCCGCGGCGGCCGCGGAATGCGTGGAATGCCTCGTGGCGGAAGAGGAGCGCCGGTGGGCGGAATGTCGCCCGACCGACTGCTCCGCGAAGCCATGGCGATGCGCGCTGGCCTCCGTGGCGGTGGCCTACGCGGTGGTCTCCGTGGCCGAGGCGGCGGACGCGGTGGTCGAGGAGGACGTGGTCGCGGCGGGTGAAGGCGTGTGTGGCCGGGCTGGCCAGACAACTTTCACACGAGAGAGCTGTGCAGCGACAGCAATCGACTCGGCAACCATGCTGTTTGCCGTGAACAGCGATGTTGCTGCACCAACCTCTCACTGCTCACCAACTTTGTAAACAACAAAACTCGACTTTTCCAACTGCCTTTCCATGGCGTAAAGCGAAATGATTCTACGAGGAAATAGCTTCCTCTCCCGGATCGGGAACGAAAACCATCAATCAATTGACCTTCTTGCCAAGACCAAAGCACATGGCCGCCACTCCTCCACTTGATGGTTCGTTTCTCTTTAAAAATATAAATCATATACATTTGCATATTTATTGATTTGTTGTGCAACGTGCTTTTGAATGTGCTTTGGGGGGGGGGTAGAGCTGCCGGCCGACGTGCTGCTCCACGTGCTGTCGTTCGTGGTGGCGGGCGCAGGCTCGGCGCGCGAGGCCGCGGCTGCGCTGTGCCGCGTGGGCGGCGCCTGCTCATCCCTGCGCGAGGTGGCCAGCAGCGACCACCTGTGGCGGCGCCTGGCCCGCGAGTCCGCCCCGCACTGGCGCTTCCGGCCGCTGCCCTCCACCGACGACCAGCGCGCCCGGTGGGTCCACATCGTGCGCGCCGCTCACACCAAGCCCAAGCCCAAGCCCACCGTCACCGCCGCGCGGCTCTTCGACGACGACGACGACTTGTTTAGCGCCGTACACGTCAAGACGGATCCGCTCAACGCGGCCGCGCTCCAGGAGCCCAAGCCCGAACCCGAGCCTGAGCTCGAGGTCGAAGTGCCCACCACCTACAAGCAGGTACCACTCCATGGAGGCTGATGATGGTGCTGGATGATGATGATGATGAAACTGATGTATACTAATCGCGTGATAACGTTGTACAGTTGTATCTGTCGATGCCGCCGCCTCCGGTCCTGTACACGGACGAGCGGTGGTTCGACGACGCGTGCCGCATGGCCACGCTGGTCGTGCACGCCGCGGTCAAGCACCCTCCGCCCAGTACGCGTGCCACCGCCCATTCTGTCATTTTAATTTAATTTTTTTGTCCGCTTCTCACTGTCGTGTGCGTGTGCGGTGGTGCGTGTGCGCCCTGTCGTTGCTGTGTTGACTTTCTCAACAACTTTTTCGGCTGCCTGGTCTTTCCCTGTTCGCGCGCAAACAGAACGGCCGGGCGTGAACTCCTTGTTCGGCTCGGATGACGACGACGACGGTGACATCTTCGCGCTCCCGCCCTCCAGATCGGGCGTGCTGGAGGTGCTCCATGAGCTGCACGGCCACAACCCGTCGCGCTCCTCCACCATCGGCCTCACTTTTCCACACCGCACAACCCCCGGTCAAGTCGGTACAACACGCGCACACATGCACACACGCACACCCTACACAACACGCACACATGCACACATGCACACACGCACACCCTACACAACACGCGCTGAGTCGACGTGTTGTTGTTGTTGTTGTTGTTGTTGTTGTTGTTGTTGTGGCGGTGGTGCAGGCGTGTGGATGCTGGTGTGTTCGGGCGGGCGGTACTTCAACGTGGGTCCGCCGTCATCGCCGTTCCCCCTGGCCGCGTGGACCACCGGCGGACTGCGCGAGCGGTTCGAGAGCGTGCGCGCGCAGGAGACCGAGGACCGCCGTGGCCGCACCACCGCCATCGCCAGCCAGGTGTACGACAGGCACGACTTTGATTGGTGCGGATCGGGCGGCCTCTTCGACGACGACGACGCCTACAAGGCCTGGCACATCAAGAGGTCCGTCGTTAATTTAATAGATTACATTTTTTTCTCTTATATTATATTTTATTTATATTTCTTACATATTAATTAACTGTGCAGTTGGCATGAGGGCGAGCCCTGTCGGCAGCTGAGCTGTCCCGCGGCGGCACGAAGTGTCGCCGGCCTCCACGTGTGGCCGCCGGAGCTGGCCGCCGTGGCGGGCTGGGCCAACGGCCACTTCCTCACCCAGGAGGCCGGCGGCCTCCTCTACTTCCACCTGGTCAACGGCGTCGTGCTCTCCTCCTGGGTGAGTGACTCACTGAACTCCCCCCTCTCCTCCCTTCTGCTCATTTCGCGCGTGTTCTGAAATGCGCCACACGTGTGCCGTGTGTCGTGTGCTGTGTCGTGTGCTGTGTCGTGCGTGTCGTGTCGTGTCGTGTCGTGTGCGAACAGCGCATCGAATCAAGCGGCGTAGTGCGGGAGTCGTTTTGTCGGGCGCCTTTGTCGCGCCTCACGCCCAGCGATGTGTTCGCCGCCAACGCCACCGAGCTGCCCTCCGGCCAGAAGGTCAGCACCCGCTCCCGCCAAGAAACCACCACCGACCATCACACCCTCTAACTCTGCGCTGTGTGTCGTGTGTGTCGTGTGTGTCGTGTGTGTCGTGTGTGTCGTGTGTGTCGTGTGTGTCGTGTGTGTCGTGTGTGTGTCGTGTGTCGTGTGGTGCAGGTGATGACCCACGACCAGTTCCTGGCCGGGTTGGCGCAGTGGACGAACCGCGACAAACAGTGCGTGGTGAGCCCCACCGGGGTGCATGTGCTGTACGACGTCGGGCGCGGCTTCCCGCACGTTCGGCAGTGCCGGGTCTACCGCCTGGGCGCGGGGTCCCTCGCCCGCTCCAACCGCGAGTTCGTGCTCGACAGCGACGGCGACAAAGTGGCCGCCGGGCGTGCTGGCTAAAAAAAGGAAAAGGAACAAAAAAGGAACACAGCGGCCCCGAAACCTCTTTGCCCTCTTTTTCCAACTCTCTTCTCTTTCCGGCTGCTACTCGACCAGACGCCTGTCTCATCGTTCAGCGCATAGCGAACTGCTTGGTATATTTTACTTCACCTCACCAACCTGTCTTTTTGGTGATGGATGATTTGCCAATCTGCATTTGATTTTGATGTAGCCACCTTCTTACATTTATGCATTTGTCTAAGCTTTTTTACACTCAATAACAATAACCAGGTGACATGTCTGGCTATCAGAGACTGAATGAGGAACCGCCTCCGCCGCAGTACGCGCCGCAGTATGGGCAGCAGCCGCAGCACTACCCTCCCCCGCCGCAATACAGCGTGCCCCAAGGCTTCCAGCCCCAGCCCCAGGCCTATCCGCCGCAGCACCACCACGACCATCACCAGCACCAGCCCCCCCATGACCATCACCATCACCACCACGCCGCGCCCCCTCCGGCGCCTGTGATCATCCACACCCAGTCGAGTGGCACCAACCACGCCCTGTGGTGTCTCGTCACCGTGCTCACCGGCGGTCTCGCCCTTCCCTGCTGGCTGTGCGCCTGCTGCGCCGACGGCTGCTAGACTTCAGTAAATGACTGAGTTTGATGGGGTGACGTTCAAAAAGAAAGTAAATGGGATTTTGCTTCATTTGAAGAAGAAGAGGCTGAGACAACGGTTGTTGTGTTCAAAGAAGAGCAGGAAGAAGGGAAAGGAGAAGGCAGCAGGCAGGCGCCTGAGGCTCAGCCCTCCTGCTCACGCTCCTCCGCTTCCTTGGACTCGAACGAGATCACGTACCGCGGCATGACCTGGTCCGGCTCCTGCAGGAACGATCATCATCATCATCACCCCACCCATCACCAACATCGGAGGTCAGCAACAAAACGCGGCCTCATGTGTGTGTGTGTGGTTGTGCGGCACGTACGAAGATGATGATTTCGTTTCCCTTGGGCGAGCAGTGCGAGTCGTAGCCGGGCTTGCGGCCCGCTCCGTCCATCCGCCCGTCGCACCGATACGACTTGCCCTTCATCACCTGCTCCACATATGTGAGCGCGTGTGCGTGTGCGTCGTGTGTCGTGTGTGTGTCGTGTGTGTGTCGTGTGTGTGTCGTGTGTGTGTCGTGTGTGTGTTACCTTGCACAGGAGAATCTGGTCGGACTGTCGCTCCTCGGAGTACCACATGGCATAGTCGGAGTA